ATCTATCTATCTATCTATCTATCTATCTATCTATCTATCTATCTATCTATCTATCTATCTATCTATCTATCTATCTATCTATCTATCGCAATAGCCCTTAGATTTATATTCCGCTTTGCAGTGCTTTACAGCCCTCTCTACACCATTTACGGAGTCAGCCTCTTGCCCCCAATAATCTGGGCCCTCATTTTACTCACCTCGGAAGGATGGAGGGCTAAGTCAACCTTGAGCCTGGTGGGATTCGAACTGCCAAATTGCAGCCGGCAGTCAGCAGAAGTAGCTTGCAGTACTGCACTCTGACCACTGCGCCACCGAGGCTAAGCGCTAAGAGCTGACCAGAGCTGGCCTAAGCTGGCTTCCTCACCACCACCTGCCCCCAGTCCAGAGCTGGCAGCTACCACCTCTGTTGGCTGTGCTTGGCAGGGCTGGGTTTTTATTGCCAGATGCAGCCTGGGCTTGAGGATGGGGGAGGCCGGAAGGAGACACCCCTCCCCCCGAAAATAGAGATGGCCGGGGGGGGGACACGACCAGTGAGGGACGTTGCTGTGAAGAAACCAAGCCCAGTTATGGTAACGGTGGGAATCCAGCAGGCAGAGGGAAGGCCAGATATTTTTACAATTTTTACTCAAGTGTGCAAGAAGGGGGTGTAAGTGCAAATTGAAAGGGGTGTCTCTTATTTTTCTCTGGGCGAGAAGCTGGTTGGCTCGGACACCTGCCTGGAACGGATTGAGGCCATGGTCCAAGATGCCAAACGGAAGGCTGGGGGTGACCCACACACTCCTCTTCGATCGCTGGTGAGTCTCCTTGTGATGACCAGGAGTGGGGTGGGGGGGATACAAAATAAACACAGTCACAAAACCCTGGTGAAGCCCCTTTTATTCCTTCCCTTTGCTTCCAAGCTCCAAATATCCTTGACGGAAGACAAAAAACTCCCACACAAACAGTTACAAGAAGGAGGGGAAAAAACAACACAAACCAGGCAAGATAAGGGCTGGAGGACGTCCACAGATAACAGAACACACACTGGGAAGGACGTCAAACTCAGAGAAGAACCATAAACTAGAGATATTTCCACACTTTGTTTCCAGCGCTCGCCCATACGCATGTCCGTCCTCTTATTCAGTTGCCACAGCTGCAGCCCATGAAGAGGATCAAGGTCCTCTCCTCCTGAGTAGACCACGTCTCTCCCTTATCCTCTCTTCCCTCCGTGCCCTAGGATGGAGAGGGGATGCGCCTGGGTCCTCCTCTGACTGCCCAGCCGGCCTCCGCCCTTCCCCAGCCTCCTCCACAATCTCCGGAGCCACACTTCCACTCCCTGTCGGCTGTTCCTCCTCTCCCTCGGAGTCCGTCTCCACCAGGGGCATGACACTCCTGCCCCCTTTCCAGGAAAGCCACCCCACCTCTTGCCAGGGTTATTAGACCAAGCCGGAGAGGCGTGTTTTCTACAGCCCACGAAAGTGCTCTGTTGGAGAATGTGATTTATGACACACTATGGGAGGAGAGGGGAAACACAGTCATAGTTGGGCAGTAAATTACGTGGGGCAGAGTCGACTTCACTTGGGAAAAGTGCCGCCATGTTGCTCCTAATAAATAATTGGATTTCTTCTGAAACTTGGCTCGAAGCTCATGAATTAATTAGGGCATCCGTCGGAACCCTGACACCCCGGTTGTCACTAGGCAGCCACTCAGGGGCATTAGGGAACTGCCCAGGGCAGGTGGGAGAAAGAAGGTAGACATGTTGGCGTCACCATGCCTGGGACAGGAGGTTGGGATACAAGCCCACAATGGCAGTATTTTTCTGACGAGGCCACCGGCCAGTCAACATCTTGGTGTCGTCCCGGTTAGCTGTGATGCTGTTGGCCCAGGGTAAGAGAATAACAGTCTTGCAATCTGACTCTCTGCTCAAGCAGGAGACCCTTACAGAATCATAGAATGACAGAGTTGGAAGGGACCTTGGAGGTCTTCTAGTCTGACCCTCTGCTCAAGCAGAAGACCCTAATCCATTATGGACAAATGGCTGTCCAGTTCCTTCTTAAAAACCTCTATGGATGAAGCACCCAGAATTTTAGAAGATAAAGTTGTTCCACTGATGAATTGTTCTCACTGTCAGGATAATTCCTCCTTAATTCCAGGTTGCTTCTCTCCTGGATTAGTTTCCATCCCTTGTTTCTTGTCCTGCCTTCTGGTGCTTTGGAGAATAGCTTGACTCCCTTTTCTTTGGGGCAGCCCCTGAGATATTGGAAGACTGCTATCATGTCACTCCTAGTCCTTTTTTTTCATCAGACTAGACATTCCCAATTCCTGCCTACGTTCTTCGTATGTTTTAGCCAAGGGTCTTCAAACTTGGCAAGTTTAAGACTTGTGGACTTCAACTCCCAGAATTCCTGAGCTAACATGACTGGAGGAGGAATTCTGGGAGTTGAACTCCACAAGTCTTAAAGCTGTCAAGTTGGAAGACTACTGATCTATCATCTGTTTGTATGTTTGTCTATCGTTGCCCCATCCATCCATCCATCCACCCACCCATGTCTGTCTGTCTGTCTGTCTGTCTGTCTGTCTATATCTATCTATCTATCTATCTATCTATCTATCTATCTATCTATCTATCTATCTATCTATCTATCATCCATCCATCCATCCATCCATCCATCCATCCATCAACTCTCACAAGGGTCTTCAAGCTTGGCAGCTTTAAGACTTGTGGACTTCAACTCCCAGAATTCCTGAGCTAAAATGACTGGAGGAGGAATTCTGGGAGTTGAAGTCCATAAATCTTAAAGCTGTCAAGTTTGAAGACCCCCTGGTTTTAGCCTTCCCTTGGGTAGCAAGAGAAGTTGTCCAGGTTTGCTAGAGAGGACCTCAGCCTCAGTTTGTGGTCATTAGGTAAAAGTGAAAGTAGGAATCGCTTCCTTCCTGACCTCCCAGCCCCAGGAACCCAGGGAGTTGATTAGAAAAGATTCAAGAGACTCCTCCATCCAGAGGTTCCAGATGTGGGACCACAGCTCCTAGATACCCACCTAGGTGTAGTCCATGACCTCTGAAGATCCCCAGGACAGGGGAAGTTAGGGGATGTCCTCCTGCTGCCTTCCGCCATGTTTTTTCTCCTAATGCTGGTACACTTTGGGGCTGTCTCCTCCAGAATCTGGGTCGGGTGGTTGGGGGCCTGTCAAGTGGTGGCTGGGGGCTCACAGTGTGGCTGCCTGTTGACTGCAGGGCCTCTCCCTGAGTGGAGGGGAGCAGAAGGAAGCCATCCAGAAGCTCATTGAGGACATGAAGAGCCGCTTCCCACATCTGAGCAAGAGTTACTTCATCACGACCGATGCCATTGGGGCCATAGCTACTGCGACCAACACCGGTAAGCCTGCCCCTCCTTCCTTCC